TTTTCGTCCTTTTAGGAAACTGGATTAATAAATACTCTCCACCCAGAGGGAGTTCCCTTAACTTAATAAGAGCTGAGCAAACTTGTTCAGAGCGATTCTGGGTATTCTAAAAATAGAAGAAAAACTCTTCTGGAACTAGTTCAGCAAGCTCTGACAGAAAAAGATCTATGCGAAATTCTGTCTTGAGCTTGGAGAACACGCTAACCCTTTGGGAAAGGTTTTCTCTTTAAATGATGAGGCCATTGCCTCTTAGCTCAAATGGGATATCTGCTTACGGTGCTTTTAACTACGAAATACAAAAAAGAGTAAAAATTTAAAATCATATAAAATTAAATCCAAAACAATTACTTGGCATAAAACTTGGCATTGGCAATAATCCTGCAATATCATAGAGTCGTGGCATCATTCCAAGAGTTGAAACAATAATGGCATTTTTGATGCCCAGTACCTATAATGTGAAGGATAAAATGAAGCTCTGGGATAAGCTCAGGATGTTCTTGGTTTTTCCAAAAAAGTTCTTAACAGTTGTTCAAACCTTGAAAAGCTGTGGCCCACAAGTGTCAAGCCCTTCGGTGAAGACCAAATCGAACTTGGATTCGCGTAATCGATGTATCATGTCATCATTGTATGCCAAGTCTAGAATGATCAACTTATAGTACTTATTGTTCTGGGAAGCTACTGTATATAATCTTAAAAAATGGTGGAAAGGACAGTGTAAATTGAGCAGAGGCGTCAAACCCAGAATTAATTTCCTTTTCTGTTTTAATTGGGTCTCGACTCAATGACCCCTCAATCCTTTTCTACTCAGAACTTCTTTAATCTAAGGGCATAAACCTTACAATGTAATATTTAGGTTGAACGTGAATGGGTAGATGGTTTTGTACCAAAATTCGGAGGCATTTCACATTCCAAGAGCTTGGTACACTACACTGAACTTGTTGTTAATGGACATACTGTGATTTAGTCACCTTTGCAAAGTTTGAAGGTCTGCTCTACCAGAAACGAGTAGTCGCTCCATTGAACACAGAGCCCAGTACAGGTTGGCGAAGTCCACAGCGCTGGTCCTGTCATACTGAAGAGTTCATATAAGAATAAAATACTTAAACAGCACTTCAAGGCTGGTGAGCCACGTTGTCAAGAAGTTTGGCTTAATCGGAGCCACTTTCTTGACTTCACCCTCGAACATGATTCTCATTACAACCACTTTCACTTTTTCTATTCCAACTACTGTTCTGTGACCCCAAAGACGATTTCTGATCTTATCCTAACTATTCCAGTATTACAGCAGTTTTTTTTTCTCTGAGCTCTAAATTGTCCTAATTCTGCAATTTGAACTCGGTGAACATGGCCACTCGAACGACTCTCTCTTGTAAGAGAGTAGGAAGGGCCCACCTAGGTTTTCCCAGAAGGGCTGAAGAGCCTGAAACAACAATTCTGCATTTAGCCAAAAATATGTACAACATACACCAATTGGAGATAATGCTCTGCTCCTTCCTTATCGGGTTTTACATGGAACGTATGAGCAGGAAGTTTATTTCCAAATGTTGTTATCGTGGGATCGAGCATAAACGACAGAATCGTCTAAAAACGGGAAATATGAGCGTCAAGCTTTTTCTCAAAGGCTAATCCAAAGCGAATATAAGAATTTGTAAAAAGGCGAATTGAGTTAATTTTGGAAACTACGGAACCACTTCGAAAATCAGTGATGCCAGTGATTTTATATCCCTGCAGGAAGATAGTGGAATGATCTTTTTCCTTTCTGGGACATTAGCATTCGTAATGGGTCAAAATCCAGCTTCCAACACTCCCCTGCTACCCAATACAGAGCCTAGTAGCACCTACTGTGGAGTATCGTGCAAAGACTGTGGGGGAGGGAGAGTTGGAAAAGTGCGGGGGGAACATCACATCCTCAGTCACGATCTTAATCCTGTTAATTTCGTCCCTAGGCTCATGAGGGTTCACTCAACCATCCGCAGTTAGCCCAAATCTTGCTTATTTCTTCTTCTGCGTCACAGCTCTTGAAAAGCTCTTCATCAAACAACCGCTCCCTAGAGATGGTACTACATATTTGGCGGAATGCCAAATCGGGCTAAAATTTAGACTTCTGCTGGTCCGGAAGTTTCATAGCTAGCTGACCTAGAAACCTCGGAGTATGGACGTTTCATTAACGAAACTTCGTAAATAAGATTTGATTAAAAGAAAATTACAAGCACTAACCACGTTGTGCCCATCAGCGGTGAGTATATCGGCGATTTTACCAAAAATCACAACATGACTTCGACCATACGATGGACTCCAAACCAATATATTCGAAGAACTGACGAGGTACGCTCCAGTGAGAAACACGAATAACACATTGAAAAACATCGCAATCTGGTTTTATCGATTTTTTACTTATAGATGCCATCGATCAATAATCAGATTCCGTGAAAACAAAATGCAAAGTTACGTTCCTCTCAAGCACTCTCAAAATTTGTGCTAGTAAAATGACCTTAGAAACAGTTCCAATAAATCAGGAAGCAAAATGAGCACATCACTCATCTGATTTTCTGTTATCAGCCAAAACTGGCCAAAATTTGACAAAAAGAATCAATCCTAGGTAGAGTTTTGGTAGAAACAGGTAGCCAGGAAACTGTTTACTTCGCTTCGGTAATGTAAATATTGGTTACTGAGGTACAAGGTACACTGGTACAAGAGCTGTGGTAAAAGTAAAAAGGGTCAAGCAAGAAGCTAATACATCGGCTGTACAAAACCGTACTTCATAGAGATGAAGGGCAAATTAATACATCATTCGCGGCATTCGGTGGTGACATGATGAAGGGTCGGTCATGCAGACGTATTATTTAAACCATGGTTTTGTTGCTCCAGACTATCCCGCTTTCAGTCAATCAAGCCCGAGTGAGTGGAGAAAACTAGGGTTACCTGAGCCTAAGTAGATTAGGGCTTCAATCCGTAAGGCCATAGGAGGGAGGGCATTAAACCCCAATTGGCCATGGTCTATCTAAACCCCAATTGACCATCTTTCACTAAATAAAGAACCGTAAACAAAAACAATGAGCTGTCAATCACCACAGAACACTAGACTTTTCACTCAGGGTTGCTAATATCTGATGGTGAGTAAGAAGCCTTTCGCCACTTGCCTTTCTCATTCCCTGATGGGAGAAATCAATCAACCCTCTTTAGGAAAGCACTTTTTTTGAGTTCCTTCTTGTCTCCCATTTCTCATCAAAACCTTTTTTCCAGCTAATCTAACCGCTTTATGTGAAAGTACATTGCACTATCAAGAATAATGTGTCACAACTTATTTGTATCAGTATGTATGTAGTTCTTGTGGTTATCGAAATGCCTTCTTGCCATCATTGATCAGCTGATCTGAACAACTATTTCCTTTCAATTTTTCCAAACACCTCAAAACGGAATTGCCGAGATTATCCGAATCGGCAAATAAATAGAGAGGTCCTTTGCTCAAATTGATGAGTACCGATCACAGACCCTTGAAACTTTTCATGAAAGTGGATAACGTACTGTAAGCCAAAATATTCGTATTCTGCGTATTCTTAAGCAGACTAGTTCCTGTGTGGATATTTCGTTGGCACAACTTCAAGTTCGCGTGCACGAACATTCCACTGAGTATAGTGCCCGAACATTTTGGGAAACAAGCGAAACATTTTTGGCACACCTCCCCTACTAATTTGTTTTTGTATCAAAAACATTCCCAGATTCCTATACTCTTCTTGGCCTGCGCTCGGAAAACAGCCCCTGTTATGTAGTTGGCTTTTAGCGTTGGTGGCAACGCTTGATGGGTTAAATAAAGTCTCAGCAGCCTCAGCATTCTCAGAAGGTGGAGTCACCAGTACTTGAATGATGAACAACGTAAACAAAAACAATGTGCAGTCAGTCAACCCAGGACCTTGAAATAGACAAAATGTGGCAAAAACGTGTCGGCTCGGTAAGTTTCTCGGAGTAAATCACAGTAAAGGTGATTAGTTCCGCATTTATCTCTCTTATTATAAAGCAGAAACTTGGTGTGTCGGTTTGTCGCTATGTCGGTATGTCTGTCGGTGTGTCCGTCCTCAAACTTTATGATCACGATAAAGGCAGTGACATGGATAATTCAGTTCTATCCTACATTCCTCTGCATTTCTTCACTTAATAGGGGGGGGGGGGGNGGGGGGGGGAGGCATTTTTGACTCAGTAAATGTAAGATATGGGGGCCCAACTGGTAAAAGCATATTCGGAAGAACACAATACAACGCGCTACGAAATTCGGAAAAGATAACGAGGAAAATAGTAATAAATGTCATCCCCAGGATGTTTTTTTTTCATGTAATCAAGAGTTTCAATCAGGGAGTGAATTGATGGGTTCGTAATTTACGATCAGCAACTGTACTTTTACTTGTCACTCTGATAAGAACACGACCGATTGATATGATATGAAGGACAGCAAATGTTGTTCTGACGGTGAAAGAGGGAGCTTTATCATGCCTTTTAAGAATACATTCCCTTCCCCAAACAAATTAACGCTTAGAAGATGGTTAATGTGAGCATTATCTTAGGATAACCCAATTAGAAGGATCTCACTGCAAAAAAAGACGGTTGAGTAGAAGGCCAGAACGTTTCGCTCCGGCAAATTCAATTTGTTCAAAGAAGCTATCGAAATCAGAGGCCGGGGTTTCCTCGGAATTTGCCCTTTACCAAGGAGATGCTGTCGTCGATCTGTTCGCCTCATGGAAGCCATATTGGAATTCGGTGAGCAAGTGTGAATAAAATAGAAAGAAAAAAAGCAGCAGCGGAAAAAGCACAACGAAGCACATATGAAGAACGTTTAAGATCATACTGCAGACAGAAAAGATGTATTTACTTAGCACTTTACTCGAGAAAAAGGGGAACAGAATTCAGCACACAGAGTAAGAAATTAAGCAAACATTTGTGCTGCCTACAATATCCTGTCACGAACTTGTTTCCATCCGAAGTTTCTGCAGTTCCGACAAGTATGCGGACGCATGGCTTACTCTTGATTAGGTCTGAAGGCCTCTACGCAATTGGACAGGGATTCGCCGAATGCCATACTGTACTGTATACGTGTTCTAGTTACTAATTCTACCTCAAACGTTCTTTGAAAGCACTCTACCAATATTTACTCCCAAATGACACCTGCACTAGCCGGTGTGTCAGGGAAAGACAGTAAAGAGAGAAACCAAAA